TGAGTCCTCCTCTGGGTAGGGGGCCACAGGACACACTGGTTGACTCATGAGTCACTGGTTGGATCGGGTCAGTCAGTGGCCAGAACACAAAAGTGAAAACAGAGTCTTATTCTGAGATATCAGTGTCATCAGTTTCTCTTCCTCCTTCCTGATTCTTTATTCTTATCACAATTCTTTTTAAGGTTTGCCTGGATTTAGATAAAGGTCTTCATCTTTTAACTGTGAATTTATTTCTTGTATGCAATTCCTATTTCAATATCCTCTTTATCATCCCTTGCCTTCTCCTTTACTGTTTCTCATGTAAAAACAATCATTTAGATTAAGAGTTAATAGCTTGGGCTGGACAAAGTGTCTCATGCCTATAATCCCAGCACTTTGGGAGGCCAACATGGGAGGATCACTTAAGGCCAGGAGTTCAAGACCAGCCTGGGCAACATAGTGAGATCCTGTCTCTACATATAATTATAAAAATAAAAAGAGTTAATAACTTGAATAACAGGCACAGTTTCAGTCCTGGGTCAGTGTGTGACCTTGGACAAATTACTTATTTGTAAGCCTTGACTACATTCATAAGTAAGATGGAAATGATGAGAAGAACTTTGTCTGGTAATTATGAGGTAATTCATGTAATGTGCTTAGTGTGCTACCTACTTATAACATTGTAAACTCTCAGGTTTTGACATGAATATGTCACTTAAATACCTTTCAAATTTTTAATAAGAAAAAAAGAAAAATTAACAACCTTAAAATAATTTTTCTATTTTGTTTTGTTTTGTTTTTGAGACAGGGTCTTGCACCAGACTGGAGTACAGTGGTGCCAACATGGCTCCCTGCAGCCTCAACCTCCGGGGCTCAGGCATTCTCCCACCTCAGCCCCCAAGTAGTTGGGAGTCCAGGTCCATGCCACTACTCCCAGCTAATTTTTTTTTTTGGTAGAGACTGGGTCTCACTATGTTGCTCAGGCTGTTTTTGAACTCCTGAGCTCAAATGATCCTCCTGCCTCAGCCTTCCAAAGTGCTGGGACTACAGGTGTCGGTCACTGTGCCCAGCCAGTTCTACTTCTTTCTATACATTGGTTGATCACTATAAGAAAGTCATGGTTTAATTTAAAAAGGCAAGTTCCCTTAATTTGATGTCCTGTGTTTGCCTTTTAAAAGACACTTTGAATACTTTACGGAGTGCAATAGTGTATAAATAAATCAACCAAGTTTCCTTAATCATCACGCCTAAGTTAAAAAAAAAAGGTATTTACTAAACATGGAGAGATGACAAGAAGGAAATGCATTTCTTCAATTCTGACTTTATGACTTTAGTAGTCCAATGACCTCATTGCAGCTACTAAAGGCCGTCAAATAATCAAAATCAAAATTTAGAATTATTTGCTATAGTTCGTATTTAAACGTTTGAAAATGAATCTCAGTTGAAAAGCTCAGGTGGGGAGGGAGGGGCATTTTTAAAGGAATTAAATGTTGTCGCTCAGGTTCAAAGCAGCTATGGCTGGCAGAAAATCAAGGTTTTCCATATTGTGTCTTAGGTAGGGACAGCAACTGGGGTGTAGGTTTTGTATACATATATTTTAAAATTTTGAAATTGGTAAGTTAATGGGAGCATTACTTGGACTTTATTTGAATTTCAACAGCTACCAGCAGATGTGCTTAGCATGAATAGGCCCCGATTCCCAAATAGCACAGTATTTCACATCTATTTTAGACTCTGAAACAAGAGCCGATTCCAGGAAGATAGCTCTGAACCTTTTTCCCAGATGCAGAAATAACTCTGCTTGTTGCCCCTCTGACCTACACCAAGGGAAGCTGCTTGAAAAGATGTTCTTTTGCCAACAATCATTTTGCCATTGTAACCCACAAGTGGAAAAATAAACTGTTGGTTCCTCTTCAGAAAACCTATTCTCACATTGCCAGAACCAGGTTGATAAAGAAAGCCATAGAGTTCTTTTAATTCCTGTTTCATTTTCCAAAGTGACCTTTAAATTTTTGTTACCACAGGGAGCCCTATTGTTCATGGCCTGCCAACAATTGGTCACTAGTAACCTTTCCTCAAATAATTAAATTCATCTAGGGAGGTTTTAGGACCACTCTTCCCCCAGCTCCCAATTCCTTGGACTTTATCTGAACCAATTCCCTCTCCCTCCTTCTGTTCCCACCCCTTATCTTAGGATGTATAAGCCTTTCTCATTTGAAAGTAAAAACCTCTCACCTGAATTCTCCTCTAGCTATTGCCCTATCTTGTTTCTTTTCTTCACCAAGTGTCTGGAGCTTATGAATTCCTATTAAGTCCAATGGACCTTCTGACTTTGCTTTCAGACATTATTATGTTTTTATTGGGAGCCTCTTTGTGCCAGGTACTTTTATAGGCCCCTAAAAATCATTTTCTTGATTAAAAAATACATGAATAATGCATGCTCATTAAAACAGCTCAACAATACAGGAACAGATAAAGATAGCATCAGTGCCTCTCCCCACCCAGCTCCATATTTTACCCTGTCCACCACAAGAGATAAGAATTATTAACCCTCTTTTGTAGCCAAGAAAAGCTCAGAGATTACCCTATAGAGTTTAAAAGGAAGAGCTTTAGGGTCAGATTGCCTGTGTTCATTTTTTTGACCTTGCCATTTCCTATGTCCCCATCTGCAAATTACTTAATATTTCTGTACCTCAGTTTTCTTATCTGTTGAACAGAGCTAATGATAGTACCTGGTTCATAGGATGTGATAAGGATGTACTTTGCCAAAACAAAATTGTTGGATTTAGCCCCACTTTGTTGTGGTACATGATTGTGTTGGTGGATCTTGTTTACTCATATTTTATTCAGTATTTTTGTATCATTATTAACAAGTAATACTAACAAGTCTTTTAGTTGCAGGCCATAAGTTCTAGTATATGAGATTTCCATTATTGTTATTTTGAAGGTGTTCTGTAATTTATTTCCTTTGACCCAAGAGTTGGTTTAGAGAGTTAACTTACATCAGCGATTACAGAACTGTTCTCAGAACATGTTGCTCACACTCTTTCTACTTTATTGCAATATATTGAGGGTTTTTTAATGGCATAATAAATTCTCAATTTTTGTGAATGTCCAATGGGCATGTGAAAATAAGAGGTATTCTCTATTTTTAGGATGCTGAGCCCATAATAGCAAAAATAATGAGCTAACATTTATCAAATACTGGCTACATGCTAACTTTTGCTCTTTAGAACAATTCTGTGTTTCACAATTCTGTGTGGTAGGCACTATTATTATGTCAGTTTTACTGATAAGGAAACTGAGGCACAAAAGTAACTTTCCCAAAGTTATTTAGTAACTAAGTGCAGTTTGAGATTTGGAACCACCACTCTTAACCACAACATTTCAACTAATTTAATCTTTGTATTACCCCTGTATGTAGATATTATCTGTGAAACAGAGGAAGAAAACTCAGGTTTAAAGAGGTTAAGCATTTGCCCAAAGTCACACCTTGCATTCTTCCACTTTCTCCTTGGTATTCCTTTCATCTGCCTCATCCATTGTCAAAAGGAGAGTAGGATGCTGATATGGTTTGGCTGCGTGTCCCCACCCACAGCTCATCTTGTAGCTCCCATAAATCCCATGTGTTGTTGGAGGAACCTGGTGGGAGATCACTGAATCCTGGGGGTGCGTCTTTCCCATGCTGTTTTCGTGATAGTGAATAAGTATCACATGATCTGATGGTTTTAAAAATGGGAGTTTCCCTGTACAAGTGCTGTCTCTTTGCCTGCTGCCATCCATGTAAGATGTGACTTTCCCCTCCTTGCCTTCCACCAAGATTGTGAGGCCTCCCCAGCCACATGGAACTGTAAGTCCATTAAACTTCTTTCTTTTGTAAATTGCCCATGCTGGGTATATGAATCAGCAATGTGAAAATGGTCTAATACAGATGCTTATCTTTTGACCCTCCCACTTTTTATTATACAAATTTTCATACATATATATACATGCATATATATGCAAAAAAATTATATATATATATATAAAGCATAGTAGAATCAAATAGCTCACATTCCACCTAGTTAAAATTTGCTCTATTTTCTTTCCTTTCCTCCCTCCCTCTCCATAAGTTTGTTTTTGGCATTGTAGTTGAACTTTGCAAAGGCAAGTTGCAAATCATAACACTCAACCCCCTAAATACTAAAATTCCTCTCGTGAGAATAAGAGTGCTGTTTCCTATACTTATAATGCCATTTATCACACCTAAGAAAATTCGTATAATTCTTCTTTTAAAATTTTTCTATTGAGTCCATAATTTAATTTCCTCCACTGTCCCAAGAATGCTTTTGAGAGCTTTCCTGTCCTCTACCCCAAACCAGGATCATGTATCTTGTTAAAACAACTCGCCACCTAAATTTATACTTATATTTTGAAAGTGCATTAAGATTTCTACTTGTTTCTAAATAATATGCATCCACCCATCTCCAGACCAGCACCCCCCACATCCTTTTGGGCAATTATCTTGGACCTTCTCCCTTTCCTCCCACCTTGTTTTTTACATCTGAGTTTGCTGCACTGTCTCCTGATTTCTGCTCAGCTTCTGCCCTTCATGGCTAGTCTCCTGTGTCTGCCCGCTTTGTTCTAAGCTCCATGAGCAGGATCCATGCCTGTTTCATCCATCACTAAACATCCATTACCTTCCTGCCACACAAAAGGTGGTCAATAAATGTACACTTACTGCTCTTCCTGTGCTATTTGGATTTGATGACAGAATCTGGCTTCCTGGTTTCAACTAGTGATTGTAATACCTTTTCTCAATATTCTGGCAGTTCAGTATACAGTATATGTAAAATAATGAAATTCCGGTATATTTATTTTACTTTGAGTATTCAGTACTCTAAAAGGTCCTGAATTATCATCTTGAAACATAAGCAAAGAGTTATACACTATATTAAAATTTGAAAAGAACAAAGAAGCAACTCTATATTCCTCAAAAGAGAAAATAACAATTGACAACCCAAACCTTTTTTTTCTTTTTTTGAGACAGGTTGTAACTCTGTCACCCAGGCTGGAGTGCAGTGGCAATCAATGCTCACTGTAAGCTTGAACTCCTGGGCTCAAGTGATCCTCCCACCTCAGCCTCCTAAGAAGCTAGGACTACAGGTATGCGCCAGCATGCCTGGCTGATTTTTAATTTTTTTTGTAGAGATAGGGTGATACGGTTGGATATTTGTCTCTGCTCAAATCTTATGTTGAAATGTAATCCCCAGTGTTTGAGGTGGAGGCTGGTGGGAGGTGACTGGATCATGGGGGCACTTGCTCATGAATAGTTTAGCACTGTCCCCTTGGTGCTGTCCTCTCGGTAGTCAGTGAGTTCTCACAAGATCTGGTCATTTAAAAGGGTGTGGCACCTCTCTCTCTCTCTTGCCATGTGATGTGTCTGTTCCCCCTTTGCCTTCTGCTACCATTGTAAGCTTTCTTAAGTCTCCCCAGAAGACAAGCAGATGCCAGCATCATGCTGCCTTGAAAGCCTGCTGAGCCAATTAAACTTATTTTCTTTATAAATTACCCAATCTCAGGTATTTTTTAATACAGCAATTCAAGAATGACCTAACACAACCATCTCACTACCTTGTCCAGGCTGGTCTCAAACTCCAGCCTCAGGTGATCCTCCCACTTTGGTTTTCCATAGTGCTGAATTACAGGCATGAGCCTAAACCTTTTATCACATACATAAATCTTACTCCTACTGCAAAGACCTTTCAATAAAGTGGAATGAGAATGGGACAGTAATTAATTAGGTTGATATAGTTGCACCTAATCTATATGCAAACAGGATAAATTAAAGATGATGAAGATAAAACTAGAAATGCTTTACTTGAAACAAAAGCTACGGTTTGCCATCCATAAAAATACTATTTCTAAAAAAAAGGTAATGACAAAGAGAGATTAAAATGATAAACTCAAGAAAATACGAAGAATTAGAGCAAAACTCTGTTCACCTTTCTGCCACCAGTGTAGAAACTGAAAGCTTCTATAGCAGCTCCAAAAAATACTCTCATGGTAATGATGACATCATCAATGCACTTTGTGTTCTACAATCACACCAGTTTTTAAAGATCCAGTCATAGTTCATTTTCACCCAATTTTCCATGATTAACTTTCATTCATTTACTGTAGTATCAATTTATTTTCAAATACTTAATACATTTTATCTAGATTAGGCTAGAGTGATTATATATGTCTAACACTTAGATATTAGAAACATATACATTTTTTAATTTGCATTTAAAACGTATTGCTGAGTTTCACTCGTATTTCCTGAACTCTAAACACTTTTAAAATAAAAGTCTGGTATAAATACTGGTATTTTGGTTTTGTGTAACATAAACACTGTAACAGTGGTTGCATCATTTTTCTCCTGTATTGAATTCAATGGTGAAGACGGATGGCACTAGTGAGGACACAGGTCCAGTCACAAGCCTGTGGCTGTGCTCACCAATGGCTGAAACACGCTGGGGCCAGTCTTGTCAGACCAGGATTGTACACAGACCTTTTAGCCTCTTACAGTTTCAGTAGGCACAGTAATGTGTATTTTCTTTCTATGAGTGCTACATTAGTAGAAAATGATGAAATCATAATTTATTAACTCTGCCAGGGTAAACCATTTCCCTTGCCCTAGTAATTCAAATATTTTTTCGCCCCTCTTATCTGTATTTATATGCAATAAAATGACTGCAGCTGTAAAGCTACTTGGTTAATCACTTAGAGCTTCTTTTTTTGTTTTATTTATTTTTGTTTTGTTTTTTTTAAAGACAGGGTTTCACCATGTTTGTCAGGCTGGTCTTGAACGCCAGACCTCAGGTAATCCGCCCGCCTTGCCCTCCAAAGTGCTTGGATTACAGGCCTGAGCCACAGCGCCTGCCCAACCTAAAGCTTCTTTTTAACCATTTCCTTGGCAAACAGTCTGATAGACTTTCCATGAGAAACAGAGGAAATTAACAAAAGGGTACATCTCCCTCCCTTGTTTACCAACATTCTTTTGAAGTAGGAAAGTAACATTGTATTCTGGCCCTCAGCTTTCTAAACTGGGTGGCCTAGTTCTAAGAGCAATAGTTCTGTATGTTAAATCACTATACAAACAAAGTTGTTTAATGGGTGGCCTAGTTCTAAGAGCAATAGTTCTGTATGTTAAATCACTATACAAACAAAGTTGTTAAAAGAATTTAAGTCAAGAGAGGAGGATCCCTTTCAAAACAAGAACTGAAAAACAGTATTTGAGGAATCCAAGGAAAACAAGACTATACAATTGACAGGCTCTTTTCAATCATCTAATATTAAGTTTACCTTTTAAAACTTCATGCGTTTTCTGTTTCCCAGAGAATTTAAACACTTACAACTCTATGATGTGCAGATTAGTAGCTAAATTACACTCTCCAAGAAGCCATATCTTTTTTCCTTCCCTTACTCATTTTTCTTTCCTTTTTCTCTCTCCCTCTTTCTTCACATCTCTGTTTCTGCCTCTAGTTGACAAAACATTTCAAAGATTGTATATAGCTCTTCTTGTTCCCCTCCATTTTTTAGGAAAAACAATTTCTAGCCAGAATATTTCAGGCTCCAACGTTGAAATTGTGTATTATTCTTTTCAACAGTTTCTATTCCATGCCTTAGCACAAAGCAGAATGTAAGCACGAAAGAAAATAACACTTCACAGTGAACTCAAAGAATAATATCACTTCTCACTTTTCAATTAAAAAAAAAATACATTTCCTATTTTTGATAGGAAATATATGTGTACCCTTGAGGGTACTATGTGCTAATATATGTGTACCCTTGAGGAAATGTATAACACCAGGGCATATGACTTTAAGAAATATAAAATTCTAAAGGTGTCTGCCTTCCCACTAACTGATTTTATACAAAGGTGGTGGTGCTGTAGCTTGGCTCTAAAATACAAATCCAGCTTTGAGTCTCCTGTCAATGGTTTGGACCACCCATTGCCCTAAGACCTTGCCACCTTTATGTCATTCCCTCTCATGTTTCCTGTTTTTTAGCCTATTCTCACTTCTCTCTTGTCGTATCTCTCAGTGATTTCAATACACACATAGACTATCCTTCCCACCCTGGCCTGTTGGCTCACTGACCTTCTCTCCTGCAATGACCTTATCCTCCATCTGCCTCATGAGAGACCAACTTTGATGCATGAGTTGAATTCTGACTAATTCCTTGCAGGTTGTTCTTCAACCACTGTCTCTCAGCAATCTAGCTTATTCTCCCTAGGACTTGACCCCAGGAGACCTTAATTACCCTGCATCTTCCAATTCATTGATCAGACCACCTTTTCACTGACCTCATCCTATATGTCTTCCATTCCTCCAGCTTAAACTGTAAGATCAATTATTACAATCATTCTCTTGTCCTTCATGTTTCAGCTCTAAATCCAACTCTGCTTATTCACACTGCACCTGTTAAGTTGAATGCGGCTGAAGAAAAATTCACAGCCATGCTGATGGGCCTCACTTCCCATTCATGACTTTCGTATTGTCTGACAATACTTTAGGTCATAGTCTAGTCACCTTCTACTTGCTAGACAACTATCTCATACCCTCTTCTCTGTCCTCAGACTTCCACTGCCTCTTGCCCCATCCTCATACTCATTTGATCATCTGGCTTTTTATTTCACTGAGAACACTGAAGCAATCAGAAGAAAATTTCACAAATCTCACTTTTCTACCTGTTTACCAGCATATATACCCTCACACTTTGACTTTCTGCCAGTTACCACTAGTGAATTTGTCATGCTCCTACCTAAAGCTGACATCTCCTCCTCCACTTAGGCACTAGATTCCATCTCCTCTTGGCTATTCCAGGACACCGCTCCAATATTGTTTCTGTCTCTTACATCATTAGTTTCTGCTCCCTAGTGGATGATTCACATCAACCTGCTTCTTTACACATGCTTCATCTCCCATTGTAAAAACATGTTTTTTGATCCATTTCCCCACCAGCTATCATCCCATTTCTTTGAAGCAAAACTTCTCAAAAGAGTTGTATATACTTGCTGTTTTCACTTTTTCCCTTCCTGTCTTCTCTTAAACTTATTCCAGCCAAGCTATTACGCCACCACTCCACTGAAAGTAGCTTCACTACTCTTGCCATTACCCCATTTCTTTATTTCTTTTTGGAGAAAAATTCCTCAAAAGAATTGTCAATATTCAGTTTCCAATTTCTTTCCCCCCTTTCCCCTTCAAACATATTTCAACCCGACCACTCCACTGAAAGTGCTCTTGTTGAGTCACCAGTGACTCTTTATTTTAAAATCTAACTTTCAATTCTCAGACCTCATCTTAACTGACCTATGAGCACCCTGTGACACAGCTGAACACCCTCCTTTACACATTCGGCTTCAAACACATGATATCTCTTGGTTTCCTTCCTACCCTGCTGGTGTCTCTTCAGTCTTCCTTGCTGGTTTTTCCTCTTCTTCAGGACCTTATAATTTTGGAGGCTTCAGGGCCCAGTTTATCAGGACTCACTCTCTTAGTGTTTTCATCCAACCTTTTGGCTTTAAATTCCATGTGTGCTGATTATCCCAAAATGTGAATACCTATCTCAGACCTCTCCTGAGCTCTAAACTCATTATGCCTACTTGCCATCTAAACTGTTGCCCAATAATCTCAAACAATATGTTTAAAAAACAAGACGACTCTAATTTTCCTGCAGAGATCCTCCTCATTATAATGACCACCATCTCTACTTCCAGTAACTCCATGCTACCAGTTTCTCAGGTCAAATTCCTTGGAATCATCCTTGACTTCTCTCTTTCTCTTATACCCCATGCTGGGAGGTGGGCCCTTTAAGAGGTGATCAGGTTGTTAAGATGGATTTATGTCTTTCTTGCAAGACTGGATTACTTATCATGAGAATAGATTAGTTTTTGAAAGAGTGAGTTGCTCTTATGCTGGTCAGTCTCTTTTGTCCATTCTTTCCCAGGTGCTTGCTTGCCCTTCCGCCTTTTTGCCATGCTGCTTCATAGCATAGCATATTGGACTTCTCAGCCTCCAGAACTGTGAGCTAAATAAGCTTTCTTTATAGATTACCCAGTCTCAGGTACTCAGTTCTAGCAGCATAAAATGAACCAAGAGATCCCATAGCCAATTTACCATGAAATCATGCTGACTCTGCCATCATAGTATATCCACCATCCACCTCCATTGCTACCAACTGGTCTGAGAAACATCTTTCACCTGGGTTACTGCAGTAGCCTCCTAAAAGATCCCCCTACATCTACCATTGCTAACACACAGATTATTTTTCACTCAGGACCCAGAATGATTCACACAAAACTTAAGTCAGATATTGTGTCCTATGCTCAAAATCTTGTAGTAATTTTCCATTTCAATAAGAATAAAAACCAGATTTCTTACACTATCACATAAGACCGTACTTGATCTAGCCTCTCTCATTTACTCTGCTTCAGCCACACTGGCCTCCTTGTTGTTTCTTGAACATTCCAGGCATGCTCCTATCTTAGTGCCTCTGCTTAGCACTTCTCTTCCTAAAATAGTCTCCTCCAAGATTTCTACTTAACTGACTCTCTCAAGTTCTTTGACTCTTTGCCAAAACCTTGTCTTTTCAATGAGGTTTCCTCTGACCACCCTATTTCATACTGTAATCTGCTCCCCATTCCCTACCCCCAGAACTTTCAATCTTTGTTTTTTTCACAGTGCTTATAACTTTCTAATATGAAATATTGTTTTCTTGTTACCACTATTATCTTTCTCCACTGCTAAAATATAAACTTCACGAGAGAAGAGATCTTCCTTGCTATATCCAGAGAACTTATAAGAGTACCAAGCACACTATAGGTACCCAGTAAATATTTTATGTTTATTGAATATTCAATAAACATAAAAAATGGATTACATGTTCCTTGAAGGTTCAGTAGTATTTCCCTCAAAATCATTTGACCTTCATGCTATTTTTGTGGAAAGATTTTTTTAAGCTTGTGATTTCATTTATTTAATGTCTATTTATATTTAATGTCTATATTTATATTTCAGTCCATGTTGATAAGTTTTACATTTCTATGAAGCCATATATTTCATCTTAAGTTTGAAAATGTATTGGCATAAAGATGTCTAACATGCTGTCTTACATTTCTTTAAATCACCACTGTGGTTATATTATTCTTTCCAAATGTTTATTTTCTCTCTCCTTTTACTATCAATCTGGTTGATACTCTGTTGTCTTACATAACTTTCTCCTGTTTATTACTACCTTTTCTCTGTGTTCTTTGGCCTAACTCTATTGGTCTTTTCTATATTACTCAAATTATTTTTCATGATCAGTGGTACAGCACTTGCCAGTATTTCCAGATTCCTCCTTCTAGGCTCAGGAGAAGATTACACCTCCCTATCCTAGTAAAACTTGGCAAGGCCAACTGACTAGCTCGGGCCAATGATAGATGTCACTTTTGATGGAAACATCTAAAAACCTATGCATGGGGAAACAATGGTCTTTTCAATAAACAGTGCTGGGTCAATTAGATATTTATATGGAAAAAACAAATTGTGACCGCCCCCCATAACAATCATTTCCAGATGGATGGCAGATATAAATTTGAACAATCTTGGTGAGAAAAGATTTCTTTTTTCCTTCTTTTTAAAAATAGAGATGGGGTCTTGCTCTGTTGCCCAGGCTTGTCCTAGGCTCAAGTGATCCTCCTGCCTCGGCCTCTCAAAGTGCTGGGATTACAGGCCTAAGCCCAGATAAGATTTCACAAACAGAGCAGAAGAACACTAAGGTAAAAGGGGAAATGACAAATTGGCACATATTAATATGAAAAACTTTTGTTCCTCAAAAGGTATCATTAAGATGGTGAAAAAGGCCAGGGCGGTGGCTCATGCCTGTAATCCAGCACTTTGGGAGGCTGAGGTGGGTGGATCATGAGGTCCAGAGTTCGAGGCCAGCCTAGCCAATATGGTGAAATCCCATTTCTACTAAAAATACAAAGATTAGCCAAGCATGGTGGCATGCACCTGTAATCCCAGCTACTCAGGAGGCTGAGGCAGAAGAATCACTTGAACCCCAGAGGTGGAGGTTGCAGTGAGCCGAGATTGTGCTACTGCACTCCAGCCTGGGTGACAGAGTGAGAGTCCATCTCAAAGAAAAAAAAAAAAAGGTCACATAGGCCAGGCGCAGTGGCTCATGCCTGTAATCTCAGCACTTTGGGAAGCTGAAGTGTGTGATCACCTGAGGCCGCAAGTTCAAGACCAGCCTGGCCAACATGGCAAAACCCTGTCTCAACTAAAAATACAAAAAGAAAAAAAAAAATTAGCCAGGAGTGGTGGTAGGCGCCTCTAATCCCAGGTACTCCGGAGGCTAAGGCAGAAGAATTACTTGAACTCGGGAGGTGGAGGCTTCAGTGAGCCGAGGTTGCGCCATTGCATTCCAGCCTGGACAATGAGAGCTAAACACCATCTCAAAAAAAAAAAAAAAAAAGGTGAGGAGATAATATATATATTATACACACACACACACACACACACACACACACCGGAGTATATGCATTACATGTAATACTCTCCTCACCATCATTTTTTTCTTCCAGCATATGGATTACAAAGATCTTCTCCCACTGGAAGAAAAATTAGTATTTACCATGTAAAAAGGCTTCCTACACATCCGTATGAAAGACATAGAACGCCCGTCCAGTAGAGAAATAGAAGCCTCGGACACTGCACAAGAGAAGATACCCTAATGGCCAAAAAACACAAGGGAAGGTTCTCAGTTCATTAGACTTCGGTTAATGCAAATTAAAATCAACACGTAATACCATTACTCATCCAGCACAATGGCTAAAATAACTAAGATGAACAGGACACCACCACGGACTCGCGAGGCTGAGTGGTAGGTGTCGCGAGACTGAAGAGTGGGTGTCGCGAGACTGAAGAGTGGGTGTCGCGAGACTGACGAGTGGGCGGCGCAAATGGTCGAGGTGTTCACTCGCCATTTTGTGTGAGGGACGCTGACGCTACACACGCCTGGCCTGGCCTCTCCCCACTGCAGCCCTGGCCGCTACCAACATGAGCCTCCCGGAGAGTCCCGGCAGCCCCTCTACTCTCGACCATGTCCTGGAAGACCCGCACCAGGGCCAGCGGCCCGGAGACGAGAGTGAGGCAAAACAGGTAATGGCGGAGACAGTGGAGAGCCGCTTGGAGTCAATCTTGCTCCCACCGCCACAGCTTCCAGAGGAAAGGGTCGCGCCTCAGGATCCCACAGATTGTGGCGATACTCTCCACATCTTGGTCAATGGGGGTCGCGGTCATGGAGCCATCAACGCGGGGCAGGAAGTGACTCCACTACCCGCGGAGGGCCGGGAAACAGCCTCTGCCTCCGCGGCAACTGACGGCAGCCTTAAAGATGGCTTTCAGGGTGAAGAGAGGCGCGGCCCAGGTGGGGAGAAGGCTCTAGAAACCTGTGGCACAGGGAGGTTGGAGTCTGAAGTGATTGCAGTGGGGAAGCCCGAGGACCTGGAGCCTGAAGAGTGCGCCATGCTCTCAGCCCCAGCTGATGAGAAGGCCGGAGGCACAGAAATGGACATGGCGGAAGGAAACCGCGCGACAGATGAGGTAAACATGGAGGCAGGGCCTGGGCCCCTCAACATGGATCTCCATCTGAACCCCCTGGAGGCCATCCATCTGGAACTGGACTCCATGAATGCCGAGGCTGACAGGGCCCTCCTGCAGGTGGAGCGCAGGTTTGGGCCGATACATGAATACTACCTGGAGCGGAGGAATGACATGATTCGCAGTATCCCGGGCTTCTGGGTCACAGCTTTCCACAACCACCCACAGCTGTCTGCCATGATTAGAGGCCAAGATGCAGAGATGTTAAGCTATTTAACCGATCTGGAAGTGAAGGAGCTCAGACACCCGAGGACAGGCTGCAAGTTTAAGTTCTTCTTCCGAAGAAACCCTTACTTCAAAAACAAGCTGATTGTCAAGGTGTATGAGGTCATATCCTACGGCCAAGTGGTGTCTTTTTCCACTCTAGTTATGTGGCGCCGGGGCCATGGACCCCAGTCCTTCATTCATAGGAACCGACATGTCATCTGCACCTTCTTCACTTGGTTTTCAGACCACTGCCTTCCAGAGTCCGACAGGATTGCTCACATTATTAAAGAGGACATCTGGCCGAATCCACTGCAGTACTACCTGTTGCATGAAGGCGCCCATAGAGCTAGACGTCGCCCGGTAAGGGAGCCAGTGGAGATCCCGAGGCCCTTTGGGTTCCAGTCTGGTTAACCTTGGCCTTTGGAACTGCTCCCGCAGAAGGTCTCCTGCCACCACCTGCTGGACCTGTGCTTGGGCAACAGTATTAGGTATGCCCTTTCCTGTTTTTGTTCTGACTTTTCTGTACTCTGTTTAAACTTTCCGTTCTCTCACCCTGAAGATTGAGACCTTGGTGGCTATGCTGCTCCCCTTTCGCCTGGTCTTCTTGCTGTTCTGCATTAACATCATAGGCTCCCAGCCGATGAGTCACATCCTTCTAAGCGAAGGATGCTGTAGACTGCACTGTCTTTACCTTTGTTTGGACTCTGTTTGTTCCCAGGACCTCTGGTCTGGCTCCTCCTACCTGGATTTCTAGCTGTGTCTAAGAATGTATTCTGCTCACCCTGTTCTGCATATGACAGTACAGGCGGCCTGTGGACAACTGCTAGGCATTGATGAAGTCAAGGAAGAACAGCAGGGGGCAGCTTGGTCTGCGTGAGTCATGGGACTCCCCATTACTTTTCCTGAGACTCTGGTCACTGATTGCTGCCTGCTGCTGGCTATGCCCACCACCTTGGGCAGCTCCCTGCTAAGTGAACATATTCCAGACCATTGCCAGCTCTACTCTCTGGTTTCTAATAAACAGGGATCTCCGGAACACTGGTGGTGGACACAGGTTTCCTGTCAACACACAAAAGACCCGTTCCTCTACCAAAAGATCTTTGAATTCTTCACCACCATACCCTCGTCACCCAGAAATCCTACTGTCAAACAAGTGGTTGAGGGGACATGATAGACCCTATCCTCATGGCAAGGGTAATATCTTGACAAGTACCAGGCTTTCTCAGCCACCATCAGTGGCCTCATTAAAATCTAGGTACCTTTATTTGCCTCCTTTCCTGTACCTAATAAAGTGCCAGAGTGGGTGTACACTTTCTTTTCTCTCATCTCTCTTCTGTCTTCCTTTTTTTTTTTTAAGTGGTAATTACGAAATACCCACAGAAGCAAGCCTTTTAGTTTCTTGGCTCTTTTTGTCATGTCCAGGGCCTCCCTCATCTATCTCTTCTGTCTTCCTTTTTTTTTTTTTTTGAGACGGAGTTTTGCTCTTGTTACCCAGGCTGGAGTGCAATGGCGCAATCTTGGCTCACCGCAACCTCCGCCTCCTGGGTTCAGGCAATTCTCCTGCCTCAGCCTCCCGAGCAGCTGGGATTACAGGCACGCACCACCGTGCCCAGCTAATTTTTTGTAATTTTAGTAGAGACGGGGTTTCACCATGTTGACCAAGATGGTCTCGATCTGTTGACCTCGTGATCCACCCGCCTCGGCCTCCCAAAGTGCTGGGATTACAGGCTTGAGCCACCATGCCCGGCCCTTTTTTTTTTTTTTTTTTTTTTTTTTTTTAAAGTGGTAGTTATGAAATCTCCGCAGAAGCAGGCCTTTTAGTTTCTTGGCTTTTTTTGTCATGTCCAGGGCAGGCTCTTCTATAAAATACACTGCCAAATCTCTTATTGCCCACTCTTTCTTTTCAGCCCCTCACCCCTCTTTAGCAATTCCTAGAGGTTTTAAAGGAATACAGAGCTGGATGGAATGAAAGGTGATTTCTAGTTGAGAGTGGATGGAAGAACTAAAGAGATTGTGATGGGTGCTCTAAGCATGGAAAACTGAACAAAAAGGCAGAGGTGAGGCAGAAATGATTCAGGGGAAAATTGGGCCTAGAATGAACACTGGGTTGACTTGAGATCCTGTGAGGAAGGGGAACTTACTCTGTTAGTTATAATGGGAAGAGAAGTACTTTTTTTTTTTTTGTATTGGGATAGAAGAATAGAAGATGGTTGGAATGTTAATTTATGTTGCCTAGAGAAGGGTTCTTTGAATACACACTGCAATTTTGGGTATCTTCTTTCTTGTTTGCATGTGGCCTTATTTATGTAGAAGATTAATACTGTGTTGTAACACTTTCTTTGTTTCTGTTTACTGGGAAGATTCAGCTGTGCAGAGTTACTTTCAATTTGGAACATTTGGAATAATATCGGTCTTTCTTTTTTGTACATTATAGAGACTTAATGTGGATATTCATGACAGTTTTCAGCCTGGTCTTGTTTCTGTTAAAACCATATCTTTAACATATTAATTTGAATAACCTGGTCTTAATCTGATGCAGAAGACTGGAAACTGTTGTGTTCATGGATAAATAAATTACAAAAAAATTTATGGTTCTTATTGTCTTTGTTGATAATTTATCCTGGTAACAACTTAGTAATTAATATGCCTGTTTTGTTTTGTTTTGTTTTTTGAGACGGAGTCTTGCTCTGAACCCAGGCTGGAGTGCAGTAGCGTGATCTTGGCTCCCGGCAACCTCCACCTTCTGGGTTAAGCAATTCTCCTGCCTCAGCCTACCAAGCAGCTGGGATTACAGGCGATCAGCACCACGCTGGGCTAATTTTTGTATTTTTAGTAGAGACAGGGTTTCACCCTGTTGGCCAGGCTGGTCTGGAACTCCTGACCTTGTGATCCACCTGCCTCGGCCCAAAGAATGGAACTGCTTGTGAGACTGCTTTGTGAAATTGGAATGATACCATTGGCATATTTGTCTGATTCCATTAAGTCAATGGCATCTTTCCTTATAAATGGATGATGGTAAAATTAAAGCTTGTTACTGAAAAAGAAAATGATGGAAAATAACAAAGGTTGAATGTAACAGAGATACCAGAAGGCTCTTATACTGCTTATGGGAGAGTAGCTTTGTACAAATACTTTGGAAAGTTGTTTGGCAGTATCAGTACACACCCTCTGATTTAGCACTGGGAATATACCCAACAGAAATCTATACATATATTCACACAAAGATGTGCAAAAAGCGTTTGTAACAGCACAATTTTAATGGCTGACACTGGGAGCTGTCCTAATATCCATCAGTAGTGGAAAAAATTTTTAAAAATGTTCACATGATGGAATATGAGAAAGAATTATGCCTACATGCAGTAATATGAATGAATCTCACAAACATGTTGGATGTAAGAAGCCAGATGCAGAGTACACGCTATATAACTCTTTTATGTATGAAGTATAACAGCAGGTAAAACTAATCTATGGTGGTAGAAGTCAGAATAGTGGTTACTGCCAAGGACAGTGACGGTTCTGAGATTTACCCTCCTTGCAAGCCTCACAAGTTAGCCTTACATGCTAGGTCAGAGACAAAGGACCTTATAACTCAATAGTCAGAGTCGCAGTATTTGCACTGGTTCCCTGAGCTATAATTTCCACAAGCCAACATAAAGCCAAGTGACACCTGCATACAGTGCATTGTGTTACAGGAGAGGATCTCCTATAGGAGCATAAGGAATCTGAATCTTATTTAAAATGGGCAGTAAGCATGCCTGTCCTTGTTGCTTTGACAGGAGACATCTCTATTACACTGAATAGTAAGTAAACCTATTCTTTGCCCTCTAAGGGACATAATCTCAATTTTTCAAGGCTATAAGCAAATCAGCCCTTTGCACTGGAGACACTCTGTCTTCCAAGGCTGTTGAGTATACATCCTTGGAAAAATATTCTGAACACACGGAGTCAGTGCCTTTGCTCACAAGAGATGCAGAAACGTGAGACACATGGAGAACTGTCTCCCAATAAACTTTGGGGTGGTAAGTACCTATTGACTGGAAGGAAGTATGAGATGGTAGATTTTTTGAAGAAGGGCTGGTGATGTTTTGGGCCTTGATCTGGGTGCTGGATAAGTAAGTATATTCAATTTGTGAAACTGCACTGAGTTCTACATTTAGAAAACATACTTCTCTCTATATATTGTACTTTAATAAAATATTCTTGCTTAAGAAAAAGAAACCAAAGCAAGCAAAGAAATTCAGAACAAAAAAAAATGAAAATCCCACATTATTTTCCTGGAACCTCTATGCCAAAAAAGGCCAATTTAAAAGTATGCTGCAGATCTTTTTGGGAAGACCATGAATTGATATATGAGAATTATAATAGGATTATTAGCCACATTTAAATGGCTAAAATCCATTTTCTAAGTATAGGAACACTGAATTATCTAGGCATGGGCCATCAACTCTTAGTATTTACAGTGCTCCGCTCATTTTGTCAACTGACCTGTATCAGAGTTTTCTAGTTATAAACAGTTTTAGTTAATAATAGCTCATGGTGGTTCATTTTTATAGCTTTGTTCTTCCAGCAAAATATGTAATAAAATCCATATATAATTTTTTTTCTGTACAACAGGGATGATGCTACTCTGAAGACTGGCCCCACCATATACTTGCTTTTTAAGATGGTCTATATTTCAAAGTTTTATTTCTTTTCAGGCTTTCCTCTTTGAGGTATAAATACTTCCTTTGATAATTAAGAGATAAAAATATCAAACCATACCTTTGGCACATGCTATAGACAATTAAGAGTGTAAGTACCAACAAAAACTTTTATAGAACTATAATGAAATAATTTGCTTTGGCTTATTTGAGCAAAATCTTTCCACTTCTGTATACAGCAAGGTTTTTGGGGATAATAAGGATAATATACCATTCAAAATGAGGTATTTTTCTTTTACATAAAGAGTATGAAAACAATAATGTATAACATTAACTTACTGCTTTTGAAACATAAGGTATATTTAATTATCTCGGCTTTTTATATCAAGTCATATCACATATAGTAAGTGCCATCCATATAGATGACTTGCCCTGTTTTCCAATGGCACAGTTTTCTCTTTGCTATTGGTAGCTATAAGCATATGAGATAGAATATTCTTTAAGTAAAGGGGTCCAGAATTCATTTTAATCTAGTTTACTGAGATAGATGAGGAAGGAAAAAATAGGTGATATTTTCACATTTGGCATTAAACTAAAATCTACAGCATAAAATAGTGCACTGAGCTACAAGTCAGGGGTTGGGGGTTCTGCCGTAAACCAGACGTTAACTACGTAGTTTTCATCTTTTTTTTTTTTTTTGGAGACATAGTCTCGTTCTGTTACCAAGCCAGATTGCAGTGGTGTGATCTCGGCTCACTGCAACCTCTGCCTCCTGGGTTCAAGTGATTTCTCCTCCCTCAGTCTCCCGAGAAGCTGGGACTACAGGTACACGTCACCATGCCCAGCTAATTTTTCTATTTTTAGTAGAGACAGGGTTTCACCATGTTGGTCAAGTTGGTCTTGATCTCTTGACCCACTGATCCAATCGCCTTGGCCTCCCAAAGTGCTAGGATTACAGGTGTGAGCTACCGCTCCTGGCTTTTTTTTTTTTTTTTTTAAAGACAGGGTCTTGCTCTGTTGCCCAGGCTGGAGTGCAGTGGTACAATCATGGCTCACTGCAGCTCATTATTCCTGGGCTCAAGTGATCTGCCTCAGTCAGCCTAGTAGCTGGGACTACAGTCACATGCCACCATGCCTGGCTAATTTATTTATTTTTTCTGGTAGTGATGAGGTTTCACTGTGTTGCTCATGCTGGTCTTGCACTTCTGGGCTCAGGCAATCCTCCTGCCTTGGCCTCAGAGTGCTGGGATTATAGGCATAAGCCACTGTGCCTGGCCCATTTTTCTATTTTTAATAACAGTTTTGAAACAGAATTTCTCCTAAATCTGAAGATTTACCTACCCCTTAAATGTAAGTTTTCCACAAAGTTCTGTGACCCCCCTGTGGCTTTTCTTCTCTATACTCTGATGACTACCCATGCCACAGCGAGAGCTTCTGCCATCATCTTTGAAATAGGGACTTTTAAATTGGAATTTCCCTTATTCCAGATCAGGGTTTGACATATCCATTTGCACAGTGTTTCCAGAATTGTTCCCTCTCCGTATCTATTTTCACCTTAATATCTCTTGTCTATATTATCGGAAGTCTGAGGAGTCACCTTCCTGAATCTTATCTTTCTTTTCCATCATTTCATTATTGACAAATCATGTGCCTTTTGCTCAACTATCCTTATCAATGCACCACTGCCTGCAGAAGAAAATCTAAACACCCTACTATTGCATTCAGGATCAGCTACAACCAAGCCCCTACTTAACATTCTTACCAGAGTCCACTCACATGGAACTCCTTACTGTTAAAAGTAGCTCATATACTATCTCAATTCTGTGCCTTTGCTCATGATGTTCCATAACCTTGGATTCTCTTGCCCATCTCAACTATGGAAATAATACCATTCCTTCTAAACTCAAATGACATATCCTCTAAATCGCCTTTCCAAACCCTCCTACCTCTTGTAGCATATACTGTGTAGTATTTATAATTCATACAAATGATACTGAACTTAGTTATTTACATATGTTAGTAGTTTATATTTGTCACTCAATTTTAAGTTCTTCATGCGCCAAAATTGTGTTTCAGTTATGTTCCTTTCTCTGATGAATAAGACATAGTCCCTGTTCTCAAGCAACCTACAGTCTAGCATAGGAGACAATGTACAGTGTGACAAATGCCAAACTTAAGTGTACGCATGGGAGCTATGGGACCACATAAGAGGGACCTTTTCCCTACCTAAAGGTTAGGGAAGGATTCCTATAAGTGGCTTGTAAGTTCCATTCTAGATACTATACTAGATTGTAAGTTTCTTCTATATTGGGGGCTATTTTTTCATCTATGATGTATCCCTAGGGCACAGTATTATATTTAGCACAAAATGGATTCTTGAAAATTACTTGATGAGCATGCAAATAAAAGATGCCCATCTGTTTTTAGTTCTAAATGTGTATTTGGAATCATACTAGTCTTTTGTGATACTTTTCTATTCCACCTATCACATGGTCAATAAATAATTGGCTGATGAATACCTAATCAAATAATAACATACTTTTAGCCTTGAGGTTCTAGATAAGTATTAATTGACATGGTTGCCCAAATAATTTCTAGGAAAAGCCAGAGTAGAACTTCAGTCAAATCCTTCTCAGTACATTAGTTCTAACTCTAAGAAAGAAGGCTGTGTGGATAGATGAGTCGGTTTGCAATTACAGTCCCACATTGAATCAAACTGCAACATTTATTCTTTAATATCTAAGTTCATATAAGTTAGAAAAACGACAGGCAGTATTATAGCCATTAATAATAGGCTATAATAATAGCTATCATTTATTAGTCTTAGGGCACGGTAGCCACTGGCTAAGCACCTTGTATGCATTCTTAATTCTCAAGTACAAAGTACTTCCGTCTCCATTCTTCAAATGAGGAACATGAGACTCAGTGTGTCCAGTCACCCAGCCAGGTG